GATATAAGCATTAGCTTCCAAAGTTATTTTAACTTTTTTTAGGTATGAATGTCAGCAAATCTATCCTGAGACTGTGAATCAATCTAATTAAGAAATATATGACAGGAAAATTTGACTTAATAGAGTGATAGCTTTAGAGTCAAGAAGACTAGAGTTCAAATCCAGCCTCAGATACTTACTAGCCATGTGACCCAGCTCAAGTGCTTAATTTCTCTCAACCTCAGTTTCCACATTTCTAAAATAGGGATAATAATAGCACCTTCCTCCCAGGGTTGTGAGGATCAAATGAAATCATAAACATAAAGCACTTTGTTAACATTAAAGTACTATATGAATGTTAGCTTTTATTATCATCATCACATAGCCAGGTCAAGACATAACAGACAGGCCACATAATCCACTACTACTAATGCAAGGTAAAGAGCTCTAGAGGAAAGCCAACTGAACTTGGGGTGGACCTCCTGTAGTGGATTTATGAACAGAGAAGGCAGGGACAGGTTGTGGCTCGTACCAACGGAAGTATCTCTTATCAATGAGACCTACTAAAGTGCTCAAGTTAAAAGTGTAAGCATTACTGTCATAGGGTCTAGACTAGAGATTTGAAGACTCTCAAGATATCATCTAGTTACAGTACAATGGCTCAACTCTTTCTGTATCTGGCCCCTTTCTGGTGAAACTTACGAATCCCTTCTCAGAATGTTTCCAAACACACAAAATACAAGAGATTACCAAAAAAAATTATATTGAAATAAAGATGTATTTTTTCTCATCCAAGTTTATGGACCCCCTGAAATCTATCCCCAGGCTAAGAATACCTAATCTAGTCCAACATCTCATTTTTAGATGAGGGAAATGAGGCCTAGAGAAAGGGAAGTGACTTGTCCAAAGTGAAACAGGTGTTAAATGACATGACTAGGAATAAAATCTCTGACTCCAGATCAGTGCTCTTTATATCATAGCACACTGGTTCAGCTAGTCTTCATTCATTTATTCAGCCAGCATTTATTAAGTGCCTACTACATGCCAGGTACCATAATATGCACTGTAATATAAAAAGGGAAAGCAAAACATATACAATTGAAATCAACATAATTTCCAGAGGAGGATGTTAGCAACTGAGGATGAGGTTAGATCTTGTGTATTAGACAGTGACATCTAACTCTTGGTTTTCAGATGAGGAAACAGGCCCAGAGAATTAAGGT